AAGCACGACCCAAATACTAGTCCTGGGAAGAAGAACATGAAAATAAAGCACAGAAGGAACGAGAGGAAACTGACGACAATATTCCACAAGAAGGGTGTCGTTAGTGCAATCACACCCCCAATTTAAGGCAACCCACACCAATTTACCGTTCCTCCCTCCGCTCTCCCCTCTATTTTCGCTTTTCCCTCTCTCCCTCCTCCAGCAGCCGTCCCCTCCCTTGACCAGCCAACAAACACTTGCCTCTGTGATTTCATCTGGTGTCCCAAGTAGTAAACCCGGCACACAAGACTTTTCTGTATCTGCAGTCCGGCCCACTCTTTCCGTCCCGGTGTACCTTGCCCATTGAAAGGCGGAGAAACGGAGCGGAAAAAGGCTGAATGATTCTTGAGGATCGATTATTGATTCAGAGGCGCAATGGCCAATAGCCCTATTTTGTTGTAATTTTGCCCACCACTCCAACCACCCATCCAGCCACCCTGAGCCCACTGAAAGCCAACCACCAAAAGCAGCAAGATAATAGCATACTCCCTCGCGTAGACTGAAATGAAGTAACCCCGATGCTATGTACTTCGTCGAAATCTGAATTATTAACAACAAAATCATCAGCATTCATGCCCCGCCTGAGCGGTCGTTGAACCGACTGGGTGCCGCCGTATAATAAGCTCCAGTATCATTTTCGTCAACAGACATTGCGAGGTATTGGTAAAGCCAAACGCAGGGCTCGCGGCATGAGCCAAGGGGGAAGAGTGGTCGTGTGAATTGGGATGGGATGGAGATGACGACTTTCAGGAAAGGATGACCGCCTGTTGCCGAAGAGACTGTAATTATTTATGCAGACCGATCGATCCAAAGATCACCGCTGCCCCCTGCCAGAGCCCGCCGAGTTCTGTCTCTCGTGCGTGGGCCGACGGTCTCTCCGGTCACCGTCCTGGAGGTTGAGTGAATCCAGCCTCATCTGGTTGTCCTCGGTTGCGTCCACTTCGTTCAAAGCGGGCATTTGGGTTACGGCGGTCCGGGTTGGTGGGCCCCCAGCAGCCGAGCTCGTTCCATTGAGAGATTTCCGCCGGTTGGCTTGCTCTGCGATGGCAGCCCACTTTCTCTCGCGAAGAGCTTCCCTCGCGGATGCGCTGTTCTGCTGCTCTGTGTATTCATGCGAGCAGTCGTCAAACAGCTGGGGGTTGATCTCCATAAACAGCTTCATAGCATTGTACACCATGCCATGGATCGTCCTGCCAAAAGTTAATCCCATGCACGCGGCTGGGTCGGAAGACAAGTTACATACCTATTCCAATGGCCCTTGGAGTTCTCATACAAAGGGGCAAACATGATAAGGGAGAATGATCTCAACATTGTCGCTGACCAAGTTGCAGAAGTACTCGTTGTTCCAGAAGTAAAGAGCCCTTTCAGCGACCTGGAAGTGGGGGCTGGCAACCGATTTGGCGAGCTGATGGAAGAGAGGCTCCTGAACCTTGGCGAACTCGGCTGGGTCCATGACCTCGAAAATGTCTTCAACCTCATTGAGGAACATAACCTCTTTGGTACTGTTGACTTTGGGCCAGTAACGCAACAAACCGAGAACCACCTCTTCTGTCAGGGAAGCATCCTTCTCGAGGAACTGAACAATGCAGTACGCAAGTTGAGGGTGGTACATGCTCAGGCTCTTGACTTTGTGGAGGGGAATCAGCACCCTGGTAAGGAACAGCTTGTGCTCCTCCTTCAGGGGCAGAGCAAAGCCGTTGATGATGGAACCGAGAATTTCCAACAACTCCGCGATGCCGTTAAAGCGCTCCGTCTCGTAGGTGAATTGGAAAAACACATTGTTGATCGAGCGGCGAATAAAGGATCGGAGGTTGAGGAATTTGCCGTAGATACGGTGGAGGGTGGTCTTCAAAAAGTCGCGCTCCCTAGGGTCCTCAGAATCAAACAACTCGAGAAGTTGGAGCACAAAGCTGTGATCAATGTATGCCTTGGCGATGTTTGTGTTGAAATCCTGGCTCTCAATGAACCGGAGAAAGAACTCGTACACGACCTGAATATGCGGCCAGGCAACCTCCAACACAGGCTCGTCCTCTTCGGGATCGAAGGCCTCGCCCTGAGGGTTCATGGGAGGCGGGATGGGGCGGAACAGGTTTTTGGCAAACATGCCAACCACGACTGGATACATGGGTTCTGTGATAACCTGACGGTTGTTGGCCACATAATCCAAAAGCTCATGAAGCGCCAGCCTCTTGATCTCCTTGGACTTCATGTCGGCACTGGCATCGTTGAAATCGAAGATGACGTTGCATTGATCAATCTTCTTCATGAACAGATCCTCGCGGCGTCCAGGGGGGACTCGTGAAAGCCGGGGGAGCTTCTCGAGCTCGCGATGAGCAGAGATGTCAAATCGTGACGAATGTTGCCGTCTCGGCGTCTTGGGGCCCTCGAGGACATCCTTGGGGGTTTGATGCAGTCGGTCAAACATCAGGGACTTTTGGCCGGCTTTCGGAGGGGCGAGGTCGTGGGGCATGGTTTCGGCGGCACCAGGCGGGGGGACGTGCTACAAGGAAGATGTACGTCAGTGTCAAGGTTCACAGAGCATTGGCGCGAGCAGCGATTCTCACCGGAGCACTTGGGCTGATGATGACGGTAGGCGGGAGAGTGCCGTGTCTAACGGGTGTGCTGCCTCCATTTGCCCCCGCTGTCTGACCTCCCAGGCTACCAAAACGATCCGGGCCACCGGCGTTCTGTCCGGCGCCAACCTGAGCGTTCAGGGTGGCATTTCCATGATCATCATGAACAGCGCTGTTGGGCGGCAGAGGCTTGTTCAAAGTCGATGTAGAACTGGACGGGGTCAGATTTGGCGACTGGTTGGCGTCCTTGGAGTTCGGCGAAGCCGTTCCGTCCTTCGAATCCTTATTCTTCTTGGAGGACTTGCTTGAGTCCCTGTCCCGACCTCGTGAGAGCTAAACACCCACTGAGATTAGCAGCCGAATCGAGACACATTCATCCAAAGAGCAGATGGCGCAGAGAATGCACAATGTGATGAATGTTGAAGATGGGATACCTACGACTCTCTGGCTGAAACGCTTCATCTTGGTGGACAACAGCTTCTCGTCTGTGGGGCGGTTAGAGGCGCCCAACTCGACCCTACTGCTGGGAACAGAGCACGTCGTTCAGCGGTATGCTCGGGTAGGCAGGAAGGCAAGGGTCAGGCTATCCCGTGCAACGCGGTTGTTCTGGTGATCGAATGTTCCGACGAGTCCCGGGTTGTGCATTCACGCAATCGACACCGACAGACAGGTATGTGGTCGCTTCAGAGCGCGCCGGGGGTTCGTCGTGTTGCTGCCGGATGATCAAGACGGCGGGTCGGGGCACAGCTCTGCCAATGGCGGGGCTTGAGCGGCGCAGTCGAGGAAGAAGCTGAGTTGTCGGGATCGGGGTGCGGGTGCGGTGCTGGGTGCAGCGTGCGTTGCGTGGTGGTGCTTGGTGCTTGGTGCTTGGTGCTTGCCAGCACGGACAAGGCAGGGCGATTGAGGAGAGCGGGTCCTACCCCAAGGGCAGCAGATGACAGACGGAGGACGGAACAGCTGCCAGAGCGACAATCGCAGCGGCAAGTTGGAGGATATAAGATGGGCTGCTGGAGAGATGTCGTCGCGATCTCAAGCTCGACTAGTGAATGCTCAAGTTGGGCCCGCACCTGTGATGTTTGATTTGAATGCGATCCGAAGCTGGGGTAGTTTGGGAAATGGATGCTTGGGCTGGGCGTTCCAGGTGATAGGTGGTTTTGCGGGGCTGTTGGAGGGTTGAACGTGATGTTTTGGATTTGGCGTGTCTGGGTTAAGTAAGGCGTATCACGCATTCACCTGCATACATGAGGCTTGCCCAGATGATGAATCAATTTCCTAGGATCTCGGGCCCGTCATAGGTGACGCTTTACGGGATAGTGGAATCCCGAAGTTCCAGCTGGTCAAGTTGAGACAACGGATTGGCACCTGGAGATGGGACCAAGGGGGAGACACGGGGAGTCGGACGTGCTGGAAATTAACCACCAGGTCCGCACTGAACGTGACACGAGGCTGAGCATAGGCTCACAGTCGATGTCCAGGTATCTTCCCATAACCGCAACGCTACTTCTCGATTGGCTATCTATCTGCCTATATGCCCATCTACTACTTTGCGGTCATGATGCCCTCCAGGGCTGAAACTTTACAAAGTTGAACGCAATAGCTCCTCGAATTAAGAGCATGTTCACCTAACTTATAGATCTAGGTAACATATGTTGTAGAAGTGGGGCTACTGCTATTGTCATCCCTGCTCGTAGCCAACCCTAACAGAAGCTCAACCTTACCTCGTCATTTTTCGTAAACAACACTCGATCACAATACCAACCAAACAAACCACTTTCCTCGAGAAAATTGCTTTTGGAGCTACAAGGAGAATACACGACGATCAATAACGGAGAGTTGATCCCCATCGTAAGGTTGCGCCACCAGCCTAACCGTTGAGCTTCGCTCTAGCTTCGACTTGCATTCAACAAGGCCGAAACAAAGCCCAATCCCCACAGCCAACCCTGCCGCTCGAACCCTGTTTGACACTAGCTTCTCACTCACGAACTCTTTTACACCCATTTTTGCGCCTCGATCTTTCACATCACGATCGAGATTCAACCATAATCGCGCGATTCATCATGGATCCAGAAACCCAGAAAGATGAAGAGCAGGCGCCCATATACACCATTCCTTCAAGGCGACTCGGTGCTCTTGAGCACCCAATGATCATCAAAAATCTCGACAAAGGCATCAAGACCTTGGGTCAGAACAATGCTTTCCAAGCCGTAAGTTGCATCACATGAAGGTTCACAATCTAATACTTACAATCTCTCAGATTCTCGACTCGGCCAGTCCCCAAATCTCTGTGCCTCTCTACCTCAGACCAGATAATCCCACCGCCCGCCCTCTCACCTCCCACAACGCCCTCACCCACAATGTCGTCCTCAAGGTCACAGTCCCCAAGCGAACAGGTCGCAAGCGCAAAAGAGGAACCGACGATCCCTGGGAAGGTGAAGTCCTCCCTCCATCCGACTCGTCAGAGGTCCTCTCCCGCGATCAACTGGACCACCCAGCCATCATCCGCCGCAAACTGCAAGATAATCCCACGACCTACACCGTCACCCCAGTCGGCATAATCAACAACACCCACCGCTATCGCGGCCTCGCCGACTTTCAGTACTCCCTCTCTCACTCCAAGTTCATGAACAAGTTCGTCTCCAACGTCTTGCCGGGTGACATCAACAAACTCAAGAACTTCTCTTTGGCTCCCGGGATTGAAACAGGCAAAGACATCGATTTGATCCCACCCCCTTATTTCACCCCAATGTCGCTGCCTTTTAGTTATGGGTACAACCAAAACCCCCACACAAAGGAACTCGCCTCTGGTGGCTCAAAACTCGTCCCAGACGGGGTAGGCGACAACTCTGACGAGGACGATGAATACGCCCGTGTGGTCAACGTCACAGCCCGCGGCCCAGCAGCGGGTTACTTCATCGCCCAGGATGAATACCCTGTGCCCACGGCACCCAAAAAACAACCCGACATGACGGACCCCCAAATCGCCGCGATTATCAATGAAATGCGTGCTGCCATGGAGGAGAGACCAATCTGGACACGCAGGTCGATGTGGAATCGGCTTGGTGCCAAGTTCGCGGAACTACCCAAGAATGGCGGGCTGGTGAGGCATTGTCTGCAGTTTGCGGGGTATCAGTTCAAGGGGGGCCCGTGGAGGGATGCGTTGGTGAAGTACGGCTTGGATCCGAGATCTGACCCCAAGTATAGGGTGTATCAGACTTTGATATTCAAGCTGCACAAGACGAGAATTGGGAGCGTGGGACGGAGCTGGCAGGCGGTGAGGAGGAATGAGATTTCGGTGACGAATTTTGGGAGGTACTGGAGGGAGTTGGGGGTGGGCAATGGGGCTCCGAGGATGGGTGGGAGGGTGGATGAGGCGTTGTTGAGGACGCATGTGTTTACTTCGAACGTGGACATGGGATCATGCCGCAATAGACCA